CACTCCAAGTATTACTTACAAGCTAAATGATAAATACATATATTACTCAAAAAATAAAAATTAAATAGTTTTTTTTTTTTTACGTTTTTCAGATTGTAGCCTAGTAAAGTCTTCTAGAAATAGCCTACTACGGACATTTCATGAAAATGAAAAATGTAAAAATAATCTTCACTTTATACATTAAATATAGATGATTCTTATTAAAGTTAGTAAGTGATTCAGTCAAGAGCCGTGAGTGATTTTCTCCTTTTCTTTTGTTTGATTAACATTTATGAAGCAGTCGGCGGCTGCAGGTTTACGCTGTTGCTTTAAGATCTGACGCATAGATCAAATATTTTGACACATCTGTATTTCTCAAGATCACTTGAGAAAACCGACTGCATTTACATGAATAGTCTCCAAGACGGGCATTTTGACAACTTTTCGTGTAAGTGTGTTGTAAGCTTTCAAGTACTGGACAAGACTTAAAAGCACATGCAAATACTGAATATCACTTTCGTGATAATGCATTGAGTCAGTGACATTTCCGTCAACTGTCCCTGGACTCGGTTGGACTCGGACATATTTTCCGAGTCCGAAAGGCTCGAGTCCATGTCAAGTCTGAGTAAAAATGCATCCGAGTCCGTGACAAGTCCAAGTCCTTTAAAAAACTGTACTCGAGACCGGACTCGAGTATGAGTCCGAGTACCCCAACTCTACTACGTAACATTTAAAATATGAACAGATTTTGGATCAGTAGACATCATGCACTTGCTGGGTTTGTAAATGGTTACAAAGAATCAGGATCACACACTACCAGACTTTCAGCAAATTCTTAAACCATGACAAAATATTAAACACGTTTGATAGCTTCCCACTGGATAGAACTAGTCTGAAGCAAAAAAATAGAGTCTGTGCTTATCATAAACTACATGATTTTCTGTGAAATCTGTCAACTCCAACAGCCCAAAATCTGACTTGCTCTGACATTCTTAAATTGAGGCAAAAGCTACGTAGTGTATTCCAGTCTTAACCTAATCATGATCGGTGGAAATGCATGTACTACAAGCGAGACAGATATTGCTGTAGTGATTTTAACAATGTTCTGTTTCTCAGGACCCCAGCCATTGATCTGCTGTCCTCCATCAGGACCCCAGGTATGCCCACCCCGTGCTAAACCAACCCCACCTCCGCCGAGCAGGAAAAGGAAGAGATCTCACACGACAGCTGACTCCAGAGAAAAACAGACCTGTGGTAAGACAACAAATCTGCTAAAGAGTGAAAAAAGATGCTCACATAAGTTTATGGCTCAGAAAGAGAAGGTTTGACTCTGTGCGATGAGATATTATTTGGGTCATAACCTCACCATTTTACCAAAAAATTATTTATTTTATTTACACACTCAAGCAATGATAAAACACATTTGTATTCACAGTTAAACACACTTGGCGGCACTCCTCCCCAAATTTTGCCTATAAGAAGTGACTTGAATAAAACACTTTGTTTGTAAAATCTAAAATGATGAACATCTTGGCAGCCTCTTTGAAAGTTTCTTTAAAAGCCAGTCAGTCAGATTAAAACTGACCATTTTAGCCAGCACTTGCCATTATTCTCCATAGATGTGCCATTTGAGCATATGACCACTGAAAAGCCATATTCCTGGAATCTGTGTCCTTTGCAGGTAGACATAAAAGCCACTTTTTTTAAACCCCCTTCCTTGTCTCGCAGACATACGACTGAGGGTGCGTGCGGAGTACTGTCAGCACGAGTCGGCTCTACAAGGAAACGTCTTCTCCAACAAGCAGGAGGCGCTGGAGAGGCAGTTTGAGCGGTTCAACCAGGCCAACACCATCCTCAAATCCCGTGACCTGGGTTCCATTATATGTGACATCAAGTTCTCAGAGTTGACCTACCTGGACGCCTTCTGGCGGGACTACATCAACGGCTCACTATTGGAAGCCCTGAAGGGCGTTTTCATCACGGACTCTCTGAAGCAGGCAGTAGGCCACGAGGCCATTAAGCTCCTGGTGAACGTGGATGAGGAAGACTACCAAGCTGGCAGGAGGAAGTTACTGAGGAACCTGGTGGCGGGAGGTGCCGGTGCAGGGACGGGGAGCAGGGAGGGTCCCTTGTCCTAGTGGTGGGATTGACTCGGTAAGTGGAGGAAATTCAGAGAGACCCTGATGAGAGATTGGACACTAATGAGAAGGTATACATGGGGGGGAGGTAAAGAAGAGTGAGGAATGTAAACAGAGAGGAAGTGACTCTTAAAAGAAAGATACCCTACAAGAGGCCGGGATTTGCATCTTTAGCAAATGTGGATGGAAAGAGGCGTTAAAAGTGTTCTGGAAAGTTACGTTATTTCTGTTTTATTTTGAGTATCTCAAGTTGTGGAAATAAAAGATGAAGGGGGAAGTATCGGACAAAGAAGGCATTTAGTTTCTTTTGTCTTTATTCCTGCGTAATTGATACTAATGCTTTTGTTTTTAGGCCTGTGTGAATTCGTTTTTTTTTTCTTATTTGTGCTACATTTCCATTTAAGTCTTGTTGCACAACTGTTAGCTCTTAGTGAAATTCTCTTGGTTAAATTAAATGTGTTCGCCTCAAAGTTTAACAGAGTACAGGTTGCATAAGTTTGATTGACTGATTTGCCTAAAACGTCACATTGCTTCTATTCATTATGAAATAATTCCCCTGTCAATGTTGTTTAGCCATCCATGTTTTTCTGGATGTGAACTTGCATAAGCAGAATCTAATTTTTTTTGAAAAATCACACAAAATCTTCATTGCACACTGCAACACTGCACTTCGCTTTGGAATTGTGACTGCTTTATAGAGAACACATTCTCCATTTGTTTCATCACTGAAATTATTGCACAATTGTGTTTGAAGAATCAAGATTGAAGATTCTGAAGCATGGAGAATTGGTTTTCAGACTGGTTTATGATATGCTTTGTTGCAGTTCATGTTTTCATGCATGTCCCTGTAATTTTCTTTTTCATTTGGTTATGGAAAAAACCTAATAACGTTGGCAAATGTTCACTCTTTATTTTTGCAACTTAATATGTGCTCTTTGTCCCGATTTTTCCAAAAAGATTAAGACATTTGGACTCTCTAGGCCTATTAATATCCATGTTTGGACCAACTTGGCTCTGAAATTAATCTTCATTGTTTGTTATTGGTTGAATTTCTGGGCAGAGCGTCAATTACACCACTAACGGTATAATACAGAGATATGCCTTTGTAAAGTTCAAATGCATGTGACTGGCAGTATTTGATTAAGGCTTTGTATTTTCACAAAGGCACAAATTGGCTACTTTTGTTCAATCCCCAAAAAAAATGATTAGGTAGTTCTGAGAGTTCTAAAGATTTAAGCTAGTTTAAAATGTGATCTCACAATGCAGCACACATGACAGAAGCTGAACCTTTTTCTTGTCTCATGATTTTGGGGTGCTCCTTAATAGCAGTTTTTAATGTGCTATATTTATCATTTCTACTCATTTAAATTCAAGCAAATGTGTCCTGAGAAACGGCCTCTTCCAGGGTTTGTATGTTGAAATAATCTGCTGTAACCTCTGTCCAACAAGTCTTGAAAGATGACACAAAATGTGCCAACCTGAAGCGTAACCTGTGTTTTAAAATGACTGAAGTGAAAGAAAAATGCCTGAGCAACATGCAATCGCAGGAAGATGTATAATTTGACTGACTTGAGATGTTTTTGCTATACTTTTAAAATACCAAAGCTGTTCCCAGACATTCATTCTCTCTTTAATCTCTCTCTTTCTTATTCATACTCTCCTCCATCTGTTAAGATATAATGAAACTGTTGAAATATTGAAAGAATATTGGTGACTTGTGGGGTGAGTGGAACAGACGTTTAGAAAAGTTAGCTGTGGATCAATTACTGCTATTATTATTATTATTACTACAGAAGGAAGAAAAGCATTTTGTAATGTTTTCCTAATGGAACTAAACAAAGTTACAGACTGGTATCTATTATATAGGTTACATGTTCTATTGATTGTGTTCAAGTGTTTGTCTTTATATCTTGCATGTATATGACATTGATCCCCTTAAATATCACACAGTGACAATTGAGCTGTGGTCTGTAGATTTGAGATATCTAGACACTTCTAACCTTTTTATACTTTGTTTTTCATAGAGAAAGAAATGGGATTGCTACTTTTTGGAGAGGTGAGATGAGTATTCTCAAAGTGACAGTAGAACAGATGAAGACGGAGCACTTTATTTTTTACTCTCTCTCAAGTATTTCACCTATTGTAACCATATATAGTAATACACCATTCCAAAATGTAGGCGACATTCGGCATCATCAGCCATCTTGTCGCATTATGACTCTTGATTTTTTAATAATTTTATTTTTGTTGACCATGCCGGTGGTTGTGTTAAGTGAAATATTTAAGTGCAAAATAGACAGCTGGTTCATTCAATGTCTGTACAAATCAATAAAACAAACTGAAAAATACAATCTGTTGCAGTTCCTTTTTTAAAAACAAAAATATCCTGTTAGCAACACATTACTTGACCAAATGTATTTGTATGATGTGTGTAATTTTATGTATACTTATGAAGCCATTCATAGATTAATTTTTCCAAAAACTGCAAATGCTGGCTCTGTGGCGTTCTCAAAACATTGCCCTGTTTGTCTGAACTGCCTGACCTAGTAACATTCTCAACCAAAAGTTGAGAAGATTACCCATGTTTTTAAACCATGGCAGATAAGGGGACGTTTTGGGAAAGTTGTTTAGAAACTGCAATCTTGCAGAAATATACAATGTGATTTAATATCACCTCAAAGAAGTTATCCAATAGCATTCATATTCATCTCCATGGCACTTGCTTATGCTGCCTGGTTCTGAGCCAATCATCTGAATCTAAATGTTTGTTTGATCCCTATGAACAACACTGTTTGGCTGATGGCATCAAAAGAATGTCCACACCACAGTCCCAAGTGTTTATAAAAGGTCTACTTTAATACATCGGTATATTTGCGCTTTAAATGTTGCTTGTCAAATTATCAGTGGAGAATGATTTTTTTTAACCAGATGGAGTAGTTACAACATTTACCAGCAGGGGTTAACAGGGCCATGCTATCTAACCAAACCTTTCCACATTGGAAGTGGTGCATAGAGCACCATTAATGATATCAGCCTTTAGCAAAAAACTAGTGTTACCAAAGACATGACTTCACTCTTTTTTGGATTTTCTTTTCTTGACGAAAACTTTCAACAATGCCCTGCTCATCAAGATCAAGAGCAGACAGACTGCTGTAAACAAACTCATTATCAGCATTAACACATCTACGCAGTAGTAGGAATACCAAGGAAGCCTGTAGGACTCGGTGCGTAAGTGTGCCGCACCCTTATGCCTCATGACAAACTCCAGCCAAAAGATGGCACTGTCCAGTGGCTTGAGCGGAGTGTCACGATGTAGGCTTGACATTCTGCGCATGTTCTTCTGGTAGGGTTGATTTTCATCCAGTATGTCCCTTAGGGCTTTTGTTAGGGTATCTACATCCAGGGCTGCGACATCAAGCACTTGAGCCAACCCTCGGGCTTCCAGGCGAATCATGTTGTCAAATTGGTCGAAGATGAGCGGAAGTCCAAGCATCGGAACGCCGTGGTAAATCGCCTCATAGATTCCATTCGTTCCTCCGTGGGTGACGAAAGCTTTAGTTTTAGGATGGCCTAAGAGGTCGTTTTGAGGCAGCCAGTCCACTATCAGTGTATTGTTCCCCAACGTAGATGGCTTTTCCCCTACGTGCCTCCAAATCACCTTTTGTGGCAAGCGAGCAAATAAGTGTGCCGCACCCTTATGCCTCATGACAAACTCCAGCCAAAAGATGGCACTGTCCAGTGGCTTGAGCGGAGTGTCACGATGTAGGCTTGACATTCTGCGCATGTTCTTCTGGTAGGGTTGATTTTCATCCAGTATGTCCCTTAGGGCTTTTGTTAGGGTATCTACATCCAGGGCTGCGACATCAAGCACTTGAGCCAACCCTCGGGCTTCCAGGCGAATCATGTTGTCAAATTGGTCGAAGATGAGCGGAAGTCCAAGCATCGGAACGCCGTGGTAAATCGCCTCATAGATTCCATTCGTTCCTCCGTGGGTGACGAAAGCTTTAGTTTTAGGATGGCCTAAGAGGTCGTTTTGAGGCAGCCAGTCCACTATCAGTGTATTGTTCCCCAACGTAGATGGCTTTTCCCCTACGTGCCTCCAAATCACCTTTTGTGGCAAGCGAGCAAAGGCGGAGGCGACGACTTCAGATATGTCAGGAACCAGACTTCCAAGCAGAGTACCCAAAGACATGATCACCACCTTGAGCTCTCCAGAACTCTCGACAAACTTCTCCAGTTCATCTGGTAGAGGTTTGGATGGTTTGCACTGGAAGCCTCCAATGTAGACCACATTGGGCATAGTAGGACGAGGAAACTCGAATACAAAATCGACTCTCATGAGCCACAGATCCGCTTCCTGGATCAGAGAGTACACATTGGTGTTCGGGTCTATGTGTTCGCTGATAACTCCTTGATAAAGAGGCCTTGTGAGCAAGTGGTCTATGTATTGGCCGATTCCATAATGCAAGAAATTCTTCATTTTATTTGCAAAGCTCATTTTATCTGTCACCCTAGATCCGATAGTTGGGATGTAAGAAAGCGGTGAGGGTGCAATTGCAAAGTGCCCTTCAGCATTTGTTATCCATCGTACATTGTACACCATTGGTAAACCCAAGTACGTGCCCAATATGACCCCTCCTGCAAAACCAGGATCAGTTAGCATCAAATCATACTTGGACTCTTTGAGTGTTTTAACAAGCTTATTATCCTCTAGAATGGTCCTCACCATCTCAGCAGAAGACTTGTGAGACTCTTCTAAAAGAGTAATTACTTCTTTCTGCAGGGCCATGAATGACCAAACAGATCCTTCCCCTCTTTGAATGTCAATGTTTCTCTTAAGAAAGGACGCCATGTACTCGGGGTCCTCCAGGCTGGAGAGATGATCGACACGGATGGTGATGGGTGTATAGTGTGTGGTGTTCTCTGGGATGTACCAGCTGTTGGCAGAACGGACGACTGTCAGTTTGTGACCTCGCTGATGAAGCTCTCGTAGCAAAATGTCCATGTTAAGCCAGTGGCTTCCATCCACTGGGTACACCAGGATCTTCCCAGCCAGGGAAAGTGGTGGGACACTCCAAAGGAAGGCAACAAGGACAAAGATTTGGGGATGCAGCAACATTGTCTGAAAATATATGTTTGATTAGTCAGTCATAATCAAAATTTGGCTAATGGAAAATTGCTTGTGTTTATAACTTAGAAACCAATGTGGGTCCAATGTTGTTTGATAAATAAATAAATAAATAAATGAATATATATATATATAATATTATTTTTGATGTTTTTATTTTTATTTTTTTACTTATTCAAAATCAAGTTAATTTGCTATTTTGTAAGCTGTAATAAATGGACAGATTAGTATGGACAGATTAGTATGATTTCAGAAAGAAGGCAGTGTATAATATGTTTTTGATAATATTGTTAGTGTAATATAAGTATTATACCCATACCATATATGATTACAAACTAATATCGCTATCTCATTTTTTATTTTATTTATTTATTTTTTGTTTCTCTCCTCTGTCACTTGCAGGGGCTGCCTCCTTTACCCTATCTGAGAGAATCATTGCACATTGACCTGGCACTACTACACAATCTCAGTTGAACACATGTACAGTTTTAAAAGTTCACAGTGGGAACGAGAGAGACTAAAGGTACTAAGAGTACACGATCATGTAACTAACACAAATATATGTCCCTGACATGTATACTAAATAGATGTGTTATGTAAAGGCTATTCATCTGAGATTACACTTTTGCATACCAATGACTTGAGCATCAAAACCTGTGTTCTGGCTAAATAGGTTGCACAGTGCAAGCAATTTAGTGATTTGCACAAATGTGTTAAAATGTATAACTGTGTAACAACTCATTGCATTGTTCACACGTGTGCAATAGTCTCTATTCTCTATTTTAATATGTCCATTGACCAAACTGCAAAATGGACAGAGATGGGTAGTAACTGATTACATGTAATCTGGATTATGTAATCCGATTCCAAAAATTAAGTACTTGTAATTGGATTAAATTACATTTTAAAATACTGTAATCAGACAAGTTACTTTTTTATTGATGACTACATATTATTCACACAATAGCAATAAATTATTCATAATTTATTGATTATCACTAATTCCTCTTTTTCATATTTTAAATGTTCCTTTCTAAAATGTCCTACTGCTTATATACACTCAGAAAGTCTTCCAGTTATGTGAACATTCACACAAAGAATGCACAATTTAAAAATACACAAATTCACGTTATTTCTTATTTACATGTAATGCAGGCATTCCAAAACTTTTTTGTCATCTGAACATCTTTCAACTAATATATATTTACTTCAAGTACCCTGAGATTTAAAAATAAATATTTTAATAATTATCACATTTGCATGTTCACGATTCTCTGTTGGTTAATGCTCACATGACATGTAGATACACAAATTAAGTATTTAATTTTTTATTAAGTGTTTTATTTTGATTGATGTTATTCTAAAATGACTTATTTTGATTTACCATTTTTATGATTTAATTCATTATTAGCTTTTCATTAAACTCATGAAGCCCCTGCAGTTCATTTATAAACCCCAGTTTGGGAAACCTTGAAGTAACAATGTTTAATGCACTTCCTGTTATTAATTACAATGAATAGAATATATTTTCTTACTCTTTGTATTTTTATATCAATATGGTATGAGATCATCGTATTTAAATCAATGTGATAAACGATTTAGGTAAAGTGTAATCTAAAAGGAATCAAAAAGTAGTCTGATTACATTACCTAAACTCTGTAATGTAATCGGTTCGTTACTAACTACAATTTTCATGTAGTTAGGAATCAGTAACGGATTACAATTTCTAAGTAATCTACCCAGCTCTGAAAATGGAACATCTGAAGCATGCAGACAATAATGAAACACTCTACCTGGTTTGTGGTGATGTCCTGAAGAGAAGTTTTGCAATGTGAAAGAATGCCTTATAACAGTGCAGTTTTTATTCCTGATCTGGCAGGCAGCCTTGCAAACGAGCAAGCAAAGTCAGTCACTTAACGTTTTTCTTGTTTTAAAAGTGGTGGTTAGCATAGATACCGGACTGGGAACAGCATGATGTTGAACTTTGGCCCAGATTGTACTTCCTCTGTGCGTTTATTTAGCCTAGCCTCAAAAGGGGGCTTGATCTGAATCATGTGTTTGGTGTAAGAAAGAAAGAAAGAGAGGGAGAGGTAGGCTCACAAACAGATTATGTCAGGGGATTAATACAGCACATTCCATCCACATTAAAACCTTTGAATCTAACTCATTAAAACAAGCCTTTGAGAAGAAGTATGGAATATTCAAAGCTTGGAATCAAAACACGTGTGATGGAAAACTGCACATTGTTCCACTTCTGACTCAAAGGTTTTAAAAGGAGCGCAATCATGAAGATCCATCATGATTTGGAACCAGTCAAAGAATAATTTTCTTAGAAGCAAATACTATTCTGGATAAGCTAAAATTCCTATATTTCAGAATTTCCGTTCAATCCAGTAGGATCTTTTTTGGTCTGGGTATAATGCTCTATTTGCATCAGCAGAGTGAGAGGGCACTTTTAAAATATACAGTCTTTATGTTAGACATCAGCTCATTGCATTGTAAAAGATTCATCACTTTCATCACGAATGGCTTCAGAAATCAAGATATCTTGTGCAGCAACATGGG